AGTATATTACTTTAAAATTATTTTCTGATTTATATAACTTGCTTACGTTTGACTAGAATATGTTTTTAATAATTACAAAATACACATCATACTTGTATAAAAAAACAATGACATGATACATAATAGCAAAAACAAACATCAAAGACAATAACAGGTGCTACAGAATACTAGAAACAACATTAAAGGTGTATCAAAGGCAATAAAAAACCAAAACATTCCTAAGTAATCATAATAAAAACTTTAAATGCAAATTAAAAACAATAAGAAAATAAAATAATGAAAACACTCATAGAACTAGAATAGAAATGGTAAATATTCTAAAATTACCAAAATACAATTCTATATGTGAAACATAAGTAGCAAAATACATTATAAAGAAAGCACAGATACTTATCATACTTGTATTACATTCAATGAAAAACATTACAAAATAGCACAAATGCTCTTCATACTTGTATTCAAAACAATTATAAATAGTCAAAAAACATATTATAATTATTGTATATGAAATGTTTTTCTCTTGTGAAACACAGAACTACACAGTTGGATATCTGTATTATGCCTGCTGTGGATATTGATATCCAATTTTTAACATTATAAGACTTTTCTAACCACTGCCTTGAATTGATTTGGCAATGTCATTTTAAAGTGTGTTGCTGTCCTAAACACTCTACTGTTTACTTTTTTCTGTTTCTTTATGAGATAGTAGTAGCTTCTTTCTTTTTGAAATGTTATGTCTTTTGGTTTTACATCATTATCAATCTTGTTAAACAAATATTCTTCCTCAGATAAAGATATAACATATCTCTCCAGCCAAAAATGCATATCAATTGGTTGTAAATTTATTGTGAAACAAATATGTAAATACTAAAAATGTTGCCCTTAGCATTATGGCTTACATTTGAAGCAATATGTTATTGTATTAGTACAAGTAATTCATTTTTACAAAATTACTAACCCTATGTAATATTAATAGCAATAAAAAAAACATATAAAACAGCCCAAACAAATTATATTCAAGTAAAAAAAACTTTTCAGAAAAGGAAGTAAATGTAGGGATGGCTTATATCAATCCTTCAAAAATGGTTCAAACAAGATAGTAGGATGACATTTGCATCATCCCTATATAATAGCACAGGCACACAGTGTAGTAGAATGCTAACAGACAAAAAATAGGATAAATTAAACTCAATTGTGATTGAATAGTTATATATATATATATTGCTATATGTTAATTCTTATCCGTACTAGCATGTACCAATGATGCAAATGTCATCCTAACTATCTTGTTTGCAGTGTTTTTCAAGGATTGATATTAGCCATCCCTTCATTTACTTCCTTTTATGGAAAGTTTTTTTCTTTACTTGTTTTTCTAAATGTAGTATTTCAATAGACATAGGAAGGTTGTATTTGTAACCAAGTTCTAAATACAATGAGGTTCCAATTGTAATATTTATTGTTTATCTATTATCGGCTAGTAATTCCTGTTTCACCCTGTACTTAAGCTTTTTAAAGGAATGCCAAGTTTCTGTAAGAAAACTAACTTCAAGGGGTAATAATAACATCATTTACACTAGAATTATAATTTTTTTATTACTACTAGTTATTAATAAGCGGATACTCCATTTGAAACTATGTCACCTTAGTTAAATTGCTTGGCAACATTGTTTTGGTTTTGAATTATCATCTAATAAAAAAGAAGCAGAAGAAAGAAGAACAAGAAATTCAAACTTCTTGCTATGATATTTACAGACATTCCCAGAATAGATATCGTTATAACAGAAAACACTCTATAGCATTGTAAGGTTCTGATGATCTATTGAGGAGATATTTAAACTTCCATTTTGATGAACAATCTGAGCTATCCCTACATGGGCACTTCTATCACCTCTCTAATATATAAATTAAAGGCAAATAGACACTGTAAGAAGCCAAAACACAAACATTTTTACAATGTACATTACAACTATTCATTGATCTGATTGCCCCAATAATATTTAGCACTAAGGCCCAAAATATCTTGGACTACATCTATCACATAAATAACAGGTAACTTAATTAGGTATGAGATGATAGTCTGTCTTTAATGTTGAATATTTTACTATTTCATGCACAGTAAAGTTTATGATAGTCATTATATTATATTGTTGCTATTTGGACTTGCATTTCTCTCTCTTTCCCTTTTTACTTATATCTTTAGGTAGTAACAGATGAAGAATTTAAGATAGAAACATTGTTAATTATTTTTGTTCATTCGGAAGAGGGAATCAGGAAAATGCTCAAATATCCATGTTATTTATTTAATATCAATAATTTGATTATTTTAGATTCCTGAAAATGTTTTGAGTATATTTTACATTAACAATATAATTCCAGCAATAGTAATATAACACCTGTTTGCTTGCAGATGGAAGAACAGAGTTCTAAGCCTTTTAGTGATCAGTGTTGCCAAGTCAGCATATTTCCCACTTTACAAGACACATTTCTTGATATTGTTTTTCATGAAACTGGGATAAACACAATGATACAGCTTGTCATCAATAAAACAGGAGTCGTGGGAGTAATAGGGTGAGATTTTACAGGATTTTCAATACTGAAAAAAGTATTTACAAAATTCCATGGCTTTCAGGGATTTTTTATGACCTGCTCAATACCAGATATTTTATTACTGTATGTATTCAAATACCTGTGCAATGCATAATATTAATGGACTATTAAATTATATGTTATTACTTTACCTTTAAATATGATTTTTTGAATTTAGCAAGACATGATTCAGAGCAGAATTCTTTTTTGATGTGACCAACTGTAATTGAGAAACTAAGATCTCTTCCTCCATCTTCACACCAAGCACAATGTGACCCGTTTTGACTTTTATTTGCTGATCCTATTAAAACCAACAAAAAAATTGAAAATCATATATATATATATATATATATATATATATATATATA